AAAGATCCGAGTATCACATGTTCTCACTCATATAATGGACCTTGAACATCTAATGTAATACTGTAAGAAAATGACTGACGGTACTGGGAAACTATGGTGGGGGGTGGGAAATGGGATTAACAGTAGCAAATATCTGTCTGGGTACGGGGAAACACCTCTTATCAACAGGGTGCCTGAATGAAACGTAATTGTATACCTAACCCTTAACTGTATCCCACAACATCATAATAAAAAATATTGATTAAAAAAAGTGGACAAAGGACATGAACAGACACTTCTCAAAAGATGACATACAAGCAGCCAACAGACACATGCAAAACTACTCAGCCTTACCAATCATCAAAGAAATGCAAACCAAAACTACAATGAGATACCATAACACCGGTAAGGATAATTATTATTAATAAGTCAAAAAAACAACAGATGATGGCGGGACTGTGAAGAAAAGAGAACACTTCTACACTGTTGGTGGGAGTGCAGACTAACTCAACTTCTGTGGAAAACCATGTGGTGTTTCCTAAAAGAACCAAAATATGACCTTCCGTGCAATCCAGCAATAAATTTCTCTACCTAAAAGACACCTGCATACGTATGTTTATTTCTGCACTATTCACAATAGCAAAAACATGGAACCAACCCCGCTGCCCATCAAAAATGGACTGGATAAAAAAATGTGGCACATATACAGGATGGAGTATTACACAGTCACAAAGTAAAACAAAATCATGGATTTCACAGCAATGGAGTTGGAAGACCATCATATTAAGTGATCTATCACAGAAACAAAGAACTGAATACTACATGTTCTCACTCATAAGTGGGCCCTGAACATTAGTCACATTAGCGCAAGTAAGGGACCAGCAGTCGCTTGGCACCGCTAGGGGAGGGAGGAAGGGAGTAGGGCAGAGAGGACATGATAACATAAAGAGTACCTGGTCCACTGCCAAGGGGAATGAGGACCAGTTAGAAGCCCAAACTTCACCTGCCTGCAGCCAATTTATGTAGTTAATCCTCACTTGGACCCTACATCTCTATATAAAATAAAAATTTTTTAAAAAAGTAATGGAACTTTGAAGAGAGAAATTCAGACCGACATCTCTGAATGATTGTACAGTATAAAGACATGTGTATCTCATATTAATGCTCATCAGAGATAACTCAGTAAAGAAGGATCTAATCAAGTGGACAAAAGAACCCATTCTGAGTATGTCAGACAACCTCTTTTCCCAGCCACATCTGTTCTTGCATGACAGTAGTGATGGAGGTTATATATAAACTCAGCCTCACGCTCTGAGGCCCATCTGGCTAGCCACTGCTGAGTAACAAAACTGACAATAGCTGAGAGCAACACTGAGCCTTTGGTAAGGCACCATGTCCCAGAGAGATCAGTCAGCTACCTGATAGTATGTTCTACTTCCATTATGGAAAGAGCAGCATTTAATTCCTAATAAAGCAAACATTTACTATTGATATGGACTTCCTTTCCCTGTCTCATCTTTTGTCACCATTGTATTTCAAGAAGCATTTGTTCTGAACAGAAGGCTCAGTTTACAGCCCATGGGTGTTAAACTGGGCTCATTTTCAGAGATTTCACTGATCTTAGCATGTTCTCCATAAGCTTGAAAAACCTGGACTGACATAAGGGTGTAATGACTTTTTCTTTCTTTAAAGACTCATCTACCACACGAGCTGAGTGGCAACACTTTTTGGTACTGGGATAATGTCCTTCAGTTAGTGAGCAATACATTCAGCTTCTTACATAGCCAGGATTCTTGTCTGGGAATTCAGGATTCAAGTCTTGATACTGCTAGGGAATGGGGGTGGGGGGACACGTGGCAACACACTGGACATCTGGTCCACTATGAGGGGGTGAGAGGGCCAGCTAGAAACCCACACTTCATCTGCATGCAATATATGTGGATATCAGAGTGGATCTTCTCACTCTTAATCCTAATGTGCTACATGAAATTGTGATGTCTCTCTCCCACAGCTTTGAGCTCCGTTGGTTTAGAGGTCTCAGTTCCCAAGGAAAAAAGCTTCCTTCAGTGAACACAATGTTTTCTTAACGATGTAGGAATATTCGGTTTATGTAGGTCTTCTTGAGTGAGCTTGGATAGCTTCAAAATTTTCTTTATTTCACCAAAGTTGTTGAACATATTGCCCTAAGGTTGTTCATGATATTCTCTTATTATCATCTTGATTTTTTTATATATAGAATCTGCAACTATGTCACCTCTCAACCTTAATAATTGGTAGTTTGTATATGCTCCATATTTTTCCTCATCCATAAGGCTAGAGGTTTTTAATTTTACTCATCTTTTCAAAGAACCAGCTTTGGGTATTATCATATTTTTCTGTTTTTTTATTTTACTGACTTGCACTTGGGTCTTTATTTTCTTTTCTATCCTTAATTTGAGTTTAACATGCTCTTTTTTTCTTTTTCTTTTTTACATTGTAAAGTTGTGGGTACAAGTGGGAGTTTACTACAAAAGTAGGTTGCATGCAGGTGAAGACTGGGCGTCTAAATAGCCCTCTTTCCCCTGATAGTGGACCAGGTAACCAGTGTGTTGCTGCCTGGCCTCCTCCTTCTTCCTCCCTCCCTCTCTTAGCAGTGTCCAGCATCTGCCATTCCACACTTGTGCTAGTGTGAGCAGTGTTTAGGGCCGCTTATGAGTGAAAACATGGGGTACTAAGTTCTCTGATTCTATGATAGTTCACTTATATGATGGTCTCCAATTGCATCCAAGATACTGTGAAAGCCATGATTTTATTCTTTACAGCTGCATAGTAGTTCATCATGTAGGCCGAGAACCACAGAGAAACACATTACTGGTTGATCTCAGCTGGAACGTACCGTGGCAGTGCTGGTCCAGCAGTCAGCCTCGTGGTGGGACGTGCAAAAGCAAGTCTCAGTACTTGCTAGTCAAGTAGGCTCAGTGCTGCAATGCTGGTGACCCTGGCAGCTGGAGCTTGGACTCCAGGGCATCTTCATCGTTCGTAACATAAACAAGTGCAAGTACATGGAGGCCTACAGTCTGCTCAATGAGTATGCAACGCATGTACAAGCCTGAAAAATTTACAGAGAAGGATCAGGAGTTCTCTGCAAGTGGGGGAGAAGATGATGATACAGAGGCTACCCTGAAGAAAGAAATTAGTGACATTAAGGCATCTACAGAGATGAGGCTAAGAAGATTCCAATCAGTAGAGAGTAGAGTGAATAATGTGAGCTTCATCAGGACGCTTAGGATGGAACCTGAGAAACTGGTGCATTATATTTTCCAGGATATGTACAAAACCAAGAAGATGAAGACTCAGGTTATTCTGCAAATGTTATCCATCTCAGGCACGTGCAAGGCTTTCTTAAAAGACATGAAAAAATATGCAGAAACACTTTTGGAACCCTGGTTTAAAGCTCCAAACAAAGGGACATTTCAGATTGAATACAACTCTCAAAATAACAGTCACATGAATAGAGAAGAAGTTATCAAAGAATTGGCAGGAATAGTGGACAGCCTCAATTCAGAAAATAAAGTGGATCTCACCAATCCACACTACACAGCGGTAGTAGACATCATCAAAGCCATCTGTTGCCTGAGTGTTGTGAAAGATCACATGTTTTTCAGACAATACAGTCTCTATGAGGTGGTGAAGAGTGTTAAGGACCCATCACAACCTAACCCAAAGCAGGGAAATACGAATGAAACTAAACTGGAATCAGGTGACACATTAGATAAAAACAACTCAGCAGAAGGAAAAAGCCAGCAGGTGATACCAGAGAATAGTGAAGAGCTGGGGCAGACAGCGCCAACATCTAAGATGCAGGTGGTGAATGAGGGAGGAGCCAAACCTGAACTTGTGAGCCAGGTCACAGAAGAATCCAAGTCAAATACAAATGACCTGTCGTAGGAGGTCATTTGGTGTTGGAGGTGGGTTTTTCAACTGAGGTGCTGTGAGTTGTTGCCGGAATCCCACATAAAATTGTGACTGAAAATACCTACTGTCTTGACCTTTGTGTGCTGCATAATATCATTCTGTAGTAGTGAACTATAGAATTGCTCAGCCCCATTAACAGTTTTGTTAGAAATCTTTCAGCCCTGTATGGCAAAGCGCATAGGCCTACTTTGCTACTGCACGGAGGGGAGAGTGAGCCTCCCTTTATGCAATACCAACTGATTTATGGGACTGGACAGACTCTGTGAAGTAGAAAATCGGGAAGGTTTTCATTCTAAGGAAGGATTTTGTACATGCCACAACTAAGCTGTCCCCTGCCACTTCGTTGTAAACATTGCAAAAATGTGGATTGTGTAGGTTAGAAGCAAATTGCTTTGTGACGTTTTTGTACTTTTTGTGATTTTCTTGTTTGGTAATATTTGTTTTTCTATTTTATTAACATTTGCATGCAACAAACCTGTCAGTCCAGTACTGAAATTTTTGAAGGCAAAGTGTGGTATAGAAGAGAACCATTCTTGACACAGAACCACAGACATTTCTGATAAAGTTGGTGATGAATTTCAGTCTTCTGAGATACTTCGGCATACTAGTGCAACAAAGGACACAAAAAAATTCTGTCTTTACAATGAAAGCTACTTTTCAAGAGTTTTTATATGGACTCATAATGCAAGTCACCCTGTTCTAGTGTGCCTTGTCTGTGGCATGTAATTTATAAATATAGCAATTGTAACTGTAAATCACAGCCACTTGACAAGAAAGGATTATTTTAAATGGCTTTTGGAATATGAAAATAGTAACGTTTGTGCTCAAAATTCACATTCTGTGAAAAGGTTTAAGAAGCAAATTATTTAGTAGCAGAACTTATCTCAGAAAAGAGAAATTCACACAGCTGGTGAGAATCTAATAATATCAGTATTAAAATGCTGGGGCAAGATGAAGTACAAGAAATTGAAGATTTTACTCTTAATTTAGTAAGTTGAATTACTGATGATATGTCATATGATACTAAAAACATTTGTGTCATTAACTGAAAAGCAAAGCTTCTCTCTCCAGATTCGTGAGACTCAACAGGTTTCACTAATATTTGTCATGTTGTAGCACTTATAAGATTTGGAAATGATAAAATTTTTAAAAAACTTTTTCTGCTGCACATATATTTTTAGTGCTGTGTTTTCATATCGGAAAGTCAGAGGTCTGTCATCTATACTCCTGGTGCCCCATCAGTGGTTGGCTCCATGACAAGTTTTGCCTCATTTGGAAAAAAAAAAAAGAAAAAAATCCCGATGTTAGCCTTATAACACACTATTTTCTTCACAGAGATGCTGATATAAAAGACTTGGAGGTGAAATGAAGAAAGTTCTGAACAATGCCACAAAAATGGTTAACTTTATTAAATACCTGTTTGTGCAAGAATGTTTAAGAAAAGAAAACAAGCCCCAAACTAAAACCTGGACAAATGGCACAAAAATATCCTGCTCCATACAGACATCCAGTGGTTTATCAGAGGAAGTGTTCTCGACAGGACGTATGAGTTGAAAGGTGAGTTGCCAAAGTATTTAGAAGAAACTAATATGCCAGGTTTTCCTTAGTGCTTTGAAAATGAAGACTGGTCACAGAAATTAGCCTATTTGGCAGACATTTTTTTCATCTCATGAGCAGACGAACACATTTTTGCAAGGTCCTGAAGAAAAAGAAATTTTCTTAAAGTGACGGAAGTCTTTGATTTAAAGAGAAACTGACTCTGGAACAATCAACTTACCAAAGGAACTCTTAAAATGTTTCTGCAGCCATTTGGGTTTGAGAATGAAGGATACAAATATCAAGCCCCACTTGGAAGAACTGCAAAACCAAATTAAATAGAATTTCCTGTCCTTTTCCCAGCATTAGTGTATGAATAAATGAGGGACGCTGTCTCTTAATCTGCTCAGCCTGAGATTTTGTCTCTTTAAGGAGAGAAAGAACTCAGCCCTGGTCTAAGAGTTATGGATTTCTGTGAAATGAGAGTATCCTTCAACTTAGTGCTCACACTCACATACCATGAGCGTTCCCTGCAGGAGTTTCCTAAATGTGAAAGTTTTTCAAGGGCTCTTCCTCTTTAAAGCAACCGAAAAAGACTGGAAGAAAGAGACACCAACAAAGTTCGTGAAGTAAACTGTCCAAATTGAGAATATTCGGGGGCTATGAAATTAGCAGTTGGAGATGGGCTTATTCTTGTTTTAAGAAGTCTGTAAGTAGTGTAAATGTTAAGTCTTCCCACACAGCGGCTCTGTTAGTTTAATGGCTAGTGAGCATGGAAGTATATTTTTATCCTCCCAGCTAGTGGTTCTGCTTGGTACCCCAGACTAGAAGGATTTGAGAGAGGCAAAGAGAAAGTAGGCAGGACCTACCTTGTATATATTCAGATATTTAGAATGCTAATTTTTAATGAGGTTGAAGTCATCTTGAAAGGATTGATAAGAGTATCATTAGTGTATCTTTTGGGGGAACAGGGAGGTAAGGATTTTGGTGTCTTCAGTGATCTTGCTCCAAGACAAACATACTTTCATTTTGATAGTGCAAGAAAAAGGACTCTGGAAATAAAATGACCATATGCCTATGGAACATTCAATGCTGTGGGACTGGGTCCCTTTTACTTTGTGAAAGCTGCTACTCTACAGAGAGATTTTGATTTTATAGTTTCTTTTTAATTGCCTTTTATACTTATTTGTATTTGGTAAGGCCCGGGTGTGATACACGCTATTCTTTCCCAGCTATAAAGTACTGTATTCTTTTGGGAATCTGAATTCATTTACTAAAATACTTGTTTTCAGGTTTATCAGCTGTTTATTTTCACTGACATTTGAGCATGTTATTTTATAAAGGATTTCAGGGTGGAAATTAAGTGCTTTTTTCTTTAGTTTTTACTTTAAGAAATTAAGTCAGTTAAAAAAACAAAACTTGAGTGTTGTGGTTTAAACTTGTTTTGCTTTATGGTGGGAAGAGTGTTAAATTTTGTATTTTAAAACATGTTTCCCTAAGGTTAAACGTGGTTTTCAGATGTTATTTTTTACTTGTTTTTGCTTTTGGTAGAGTCGGATATTCAGCTTGTTTTTCATAGTTCCTGTTATTTTTCAGAAAAATCAAAATAAATTTGCATTTTGTGTGTGTGTGTGTGTGTGTGTGTGTGTGTGTGTGTGTGTATTCCATCATGTATATGTACCACATTTTCTTTTCCAGTCCACTTTTGACGAGCATTTAAGTTGGATCCATATTTTTGCTATTGTGAATAGCACTGCAATAAACATCCATGTGTGAGTATCGTTTTGGTAGAGCAATTTATGTTCCTCTGGATATATTCTCAGGAATTGCTGGATTCATATAGACTAGTTATTTGAGAAATTGCTACACTGCTTTCCATCAAGGCTGAACTAGTTTACATTCCCATTAACAGTGTAGAAGAGTCCCCTTTTCTCTGCAGTCATGCCAGCACCCATTGTTTTTTGACTTATTAATATTAGCCATCCTTACTGGTATTAGGTGGTATCTTATTGTAGTTTTGATTTACATTTCTCTGATGATTAGTGAGGCTGAGCAGTTTTTCATGTGTCTGTTGGCTGCTTGTATGTCTTCCTTTGAGAAGTGTCTGTTTATGTCCTTTGCCCACTTGTTAATTATTTGTTTGTTTTTCTTTTTCCTCTCACTTTGTTTGAGTTCCTTGTAGATTCTGGATGTTAGGCCTTTGTCAGATGCATAGCTTGCAAATACTTTTCCCATTCTGTGGATTATCTCTTTTCTTTCTTGATGATTTCTTTTCCTATGCAAAAACTTTTCAGTTAGATAAGGTCCCACCTGTCTCTCTTAGCTTTTGATGCATTTGTTTTTAAGGACTTGGCCATTAATTTATTGCCTACTCTGATGTCCAGGAGGGTATTCCCTATGTTTTTCTCTAAGATTCTTATAACTTGAGGTTTTTAAATATGGTCCCTGATCCATTTTTATTTAATTTTTGTATGTGGTGATAGATAGGAATCTAGTTTGTCTCCTGCATGTAGCTAGCCAGCTTTTCCAGCACCGTTTGCTAAATATGGTTTCCTTTCCCCTATGTTTGTTATTGATGGCTTTGTCACAGTTGAGTTGGTTGAAGGTCCGTGTTTTCATTTCTGGATACTCTGTCCTGTCCCATTGGTCTATGTGCCTATTCCTGTATCAATAACTTGCCTTCTTGGTTACTGTAGACTTGTAATAAAGTTTTAATTCTGGAATAGTGATACCTTCGGTTGTCTTTTATTAGTGTTAAGATGGTATATCTATTTTCACCCTTTTATCTTTTAATTGTTGATCTCTTTATATTTAGAGTGGTTTCTTGTAGGCAGCATACTCATATAATTGGTTGTTGCTTTTTGAAATTCAGTCTGACAATCTATTTTTAATTGGGAGTATTTAGATCTTTTGCATTTACATGATTAGTGATATAATTGGGTTTAAATTTATCACCTGCTATTTCTTTTGTCTTACCTGTTCTTTGTTTCCTTTTTTCCTATTTTTCTGCTTTCTTTTGGATTGAATATTTATACAATTTCATTTTTATCTTTTCTGATGTCTTATTAGTTACAATTCTTTGTTTTGTTTGCTTTTAAGTGACTGCTTTGGAAGTTATAGTATACTTCTTTAACTTATCATAGTCTACATTCAAGTACTATTAAGCCACTAAACATACAGTAGAAGAACCTTACTATAACACATGTCCATTTGCCCCTCCAGAGTTTTGTGTTACTGCTGTCATACATTTGAAGTCCACACATTTTATAAACTTCAAGTGATCAGTTCCAGGTAGTGACACTGACAGAGGCAAGCATGAAGAGCTTGGTTTTAGGAGCCCTGACATAGGAAGCAATGTAAGTACAAGTCTATTTTTTAGTGATTTTGATTCTGTAAGTTGATCAGCAAAATACTGAATTAAAGACATTCAAGGGTAAACTTGGTAGCCTTATTCATCACTTGACCCCGAATAACCAATGATCCAGACAG